CCCCAAAACCCCAAAACCCCAAAACCCCAAAACCCCAGATAATATCTTCAAATTGAAGTTTGAACTTAGATGAAGATTTAGGGATCCTGAATACTCATTTGCTCCAAAGCGGTAAATAGAAAAATTTATAGCGGAGAAAACAAAAATACTTCTTTTTTAATATCCTTTACTCATTATTTCTCAATATTTTAATTAGGTTACCTTTAGTTGGAACTTTCCATATTTTAATAAAGTTTATTCCTATCTCCTCAAGTGATGCTTATGATAAGGAGGCTTAGTAATATTAGCCTGGAAGAGCCTGTTCACATCATTAATAATAGAAATATTTCTTAAAGCTTTAATCAAAGAAAACTGCATAAAAATTTATAGGCTTGAGTTAAATCATCAATTATTTCCCAAACAACTTATTATAAAGCAGGGGAGCTGCTGGGCTTCCAAATGAATAATTCATCCAAAATTTATTAATAATTATGCTCCTCAGCTGAATATTAGAGCCTAACCAAAAGCAAATGAGGTGATTATGTTCATCCGGTGCTCTCACTTTAATCAATAAAAAGAGGTGGTTTAGTAGATGGTAGTCTAACAACTTGAGAATTATAACCCCATCAGTTATTTCAATGATGAAGAGCAGGAATAGAGCCAGAGGAGTCTATATGCTCATAAATTTTAACCACCTTCCATTCCTGAACTCTAAAAATATTATTGACATAATACAAACTGATGAACTTCGTTGGATTTAAACTGCACGCTAAACCTACCAAGAAGTTGGTAGGACTGGGTGTGGATGGAAGATGATACAAACCTGGCAGGATATGTTAATCAAACTTAAACTCAGCCTTATATCGACTGGCCTATTTCTACACCACTTTTAAGAATTATGTTTGAAAATTCTCGTAAATTACATAATTTTAGTAAAAACCCAGCGACATTTTGTGAGTAAAGAAGGTTGGTTGTGGTAAATGTAAGCAATAATTATTAATACTCTGGGTTCTTCATCAGGGTGGCGAATACTTTTAGCTTTTGGAGATGAGCTCTCACCTTCTGTTTGAATGTTTGTCTCTGTTCATTGAAGACCAGGCTAGCCACGTTCTCCAGGGAAATGAAGTGTAACAGCACATGGAAGAACTCTGGGTGAGGATTCATTAGTCTGAATTTCTTTTCTGAGTAGAAATACAATAACTTGTTCATGGCGTCTTTGAGTTGAGGGTCTTCTTGAGGAATCGTCCCTAACTTTCCTTTGAAATTTATTACTCAATCGAAGATGGTACAGACTCTGTCAAGATGAGCTTCAGGAAATTTCTGTCTGCAATACTCCCTGAGTCTCTGAGGGTAGTCTTCTGCCCAAGAATTATTTCCAGCAGAGGTTGCAAAATCTTTTATGAAGAACTTTCTAAGTCTTCTAAAAGTTGCCTTAAAGACCACATCTTTACGAGTGTTATAATTCGTCCGATTCCTATAAAGAGTAAACTCTTCAGAATCTGAGTCATGTCTAAGAGCTCTAGGCCTTGACTTAAATCTTGGTCTCGACTCATGAGCATCTTCATTAGAAGGTTTAATAGGAATTTTCTCTTCTTCATGTAATTTAGTATCATGCTCTTTGGGGTGTTTATAATCTTTCGACTCTTCATAGTTTATTTTCTGAACATCTTTCTTAATTTTTAGACTTAGATAGTCCTTCCTTCTCCTGTTGAGTAGAGTCATTTTCCATTCATATACAATACTTGGTGATTAACTCTTTCATTATAACCTCGCTGTTCTTGCTAGCTGGCTTTTGAAGCATCAATTTTTTATTCAAGGAAACAAGGTTTTCTAGATCTTAAATTAGCAACTTAGGTGAATAATTTATTTCAAATGTCTATTATCACAGTTCAAAGGAAGAGAAGATTCTGCACAACACTTTGCAGGGATTTTGCCAGCAGGTTTAAATGCAAGTAAGCTTACTCTCTAATTTAATTTGTCTTAATTATTAGTTTATCTACTTTGGATAAGATTAACAGTATTAGATTTATTCACTTTTAAAATAGCTCACTAAGCATGAAAAGAAAACTAAGAATTTTTATATTTTATTGACTTGAAGATTGTTTAAGCTTCTTGCATTTAAAGCTTAGGAAATAATATGAAATATTTATGTATACTACTTATAGATTTTCCACCGGTGAAATTGAGCTCCCTCAGTCTTAGACCCAGAAAAAGTATGAAAAACTTCAAGATTCAAACCTAGGAGAAGAACTTCTATGATACCGACTAACAACCAAAGACCCTTGTTTTAACACAAAAGTTAGGTGATCCTACCTGTATCGTGCTTGGCTCCCGAAGAGTCTCTCTCAAACTGCACCTTTTCACAGCTACAAAAGTGATAGAAACATTGTCAAAGAGTTTGGCTAACATTGGAGGAGTTCATATTAGTGAAGCCTAACATATTTTTTATTATTGTATTACTCATCTCTACTTTAAATTATTTCCTACCTTTTGGGGTTTTGGGGTTTTGGGGTTTTGGGG